TTTAGGGTAGTTGCATAAGAAAGTAATGGGTATTTAAGTGAGTATGGGTGGTTAAGTGAGTATCGGTGGTTAAGATGGAAAGAGAATAGGAGAATAGGGTTAATAGTGATATTTCATGAGAGCAGACATTTAAATAGGGTTAAAGAAGGATTTATGAATAATTATTTGAAAAGAGATAAAGGGTAATTTAGATATTTTAGATAATTTCTATTTTAAGGGGCTTTTGGTTTATGGGTTTAAGGTGGATTAGTGAATAGAATTGAGAAAAAATAGTTTGGGGCGCACATTACTTAAAACAATTGGACTAATTCTGACCCAATATCAATAGTGGATTTGATGAAATCCGCTCGAGGTGGGGTAGGAGATTTCAAAAGTGAAAGATGAAATTTGTAGATAAAAAGACTATTTTACCCAAAAAATTATTTTTATATTTACTTAATAATGAACATTTTAGTTAATTGACAAATATAATTTGACATAAATCTATGAGCCCCACATGTATTCATGTCATTTACCAAAACGAGGGATTTGATTTATTGCTTGAATCCCATATACGAATTCTCGGGGTGGGTTTTGAAGAACTTCGTGAATGTAATCCAATCTCCCCAATAGATTTTGTCTTGGTGAATCAGTTGCCTGGGAAATCAAGTAGGACTCATTATGTATAAATGGATTTTTTACTCATTAATGTTGGATATTTGAACAAAAAAATTATTGAAAGAAATCTAAATTCTCATAAGCCTATGTGGCGTACACTTGAAAGAAAGAAAATAAAATTTTGGTGATTAATTATATGATGCTAAAAAAATATTTTTTAACGAATATAATTTCATATTAATTAATGATGTCATTTTCAATTTCTTATTGTATCGTATTTATATTAATGGATAAATTAACAGCTCTATTCAAAGTCATCATAACTTCTAAAATTCAAGAAAATGAATCTTAAAACAATAAAAAAAAAAAAATTGCAGTACGAGCATGTCAATTTGAGTAATGGAGGAAGGAGCTAGGTGGGTTGATGTTGCAAAGATCCAAATCGATTATGCCCCGAATTGATTCCAGCCGTCATCGGAGTTGTGAATACAAATTTAGGTGCAAATCGGGTTACAAATTTAGGTGAAATTGTTTGTTTTTCTATTTTTTGGTTTTTTTTTTGTTTTTTGTGAATTGGGGATTTGATTTGGTGGTGCCATGGTTTGGGTGTCAACTCTTGTCGTCTTGTTATTATAATCCGTGACGTGTTTATACCAATAACAAAATATTTAATTTTAAAACAACTCATAAATGTGTTATTCGTGTCTAACATTAGTCTAACTTATATATTATTCGTGTTAAATGATCATATTATTTTTAAATTCTTGTTGTGTAGAGTTTATATTTCTTATCGTATTTATGTCGATGTAAAGAAATGACATCCTCTAATTATGTGCAATGGTGGCGACGATGTTGTGGTGGTGTATGATTGAGACAATTTGTTATGAGCAATGTTATAAGGACTTAATCTGGGGACCTAATTTATTGTATTTATTGGATTAATTATAAATTTTAATATTAGATCGAACATATTTTTAATCGAATGTCTGCATTGCATTGAATTAATTTCTCAAATTAGGTATAAATAATATTTTATTTTATTATGTATTATTTATTTTTTTTTTTTAATTTAATTAGAATTATACATGTAGAGTTGAGGTCGTGGCATGCATGTTTTGATTCTATTTGTACAACCGCAAGATCTTATCCTGTGGGCATTAGCGGACATTTTTCACTCTTCACCCGATTTTAGTGAAAGCCATCTTCAAAAAAAGTTATTTTGCCAATTTTGTAGAATTCGGGCATATGACAATGTTATTTCCACCCAACCATAGTTGTGGAAAAAGGCGTCATTTAGGAGAAAATATTCATTATAACGGTGATACCATGTGATAACATTGAAATTGTATCACCAATCAATAATATCAAAATAAATAAACAAATGAGTCGCACTAAAATTAATAACTAACCCTCTATGTAAGCGAATAACTACCGTCTCTTTTTTTTATGTAAGTAAAACACTATCTAAGTGGAGTTCACTTTATCCACTTGGTGTTTTATTTTTGATTAGTAATATCATGGTAACATTGCTAACATAGTATTACTGTTGCATTCAATATTTACTTGTCCTGCATGTCAATGCAAATTTGATTATACAATACAAATTTGAATCTAAAAGGTCGATAGACGACAAAAATCAATCACACAAGATTACAAATGTATTATATATGAATCGAGTTAATTTTGAAACGACACAATTCAAATACGAAAAGGACTCAGACATAGTAGTTAGTCAAAAAAAAAAAAAAAGGAAAATAGATGAAGAACAACATGCAAATATGTAACTTTACTCCTCTTGGATTCAGGACAAGGACAATGCCGGAATGAAGAAGCGATACACACTGGTGACTGGCACATTCTCTCTCCTGGACCACCCCAATTACATAACCTAATTTAAATCCAACCAAAAAAAAAAAAAAATCACATATCAACAGCCACACGTTTGTACAACTGGGCCGGCAACCTTGGGCGGGGCATGGCCTGTAGTGGGGGTGCGCATGTAGGTCACCAGTCCGGGTTCTCCGCCATGTCAATTTCTTCTGGGCTCAGCCCACTAGGTGGAGCCCAATAAAAATGGTGCAAAAGGTGGCCCAACATGGAAGTGACCAAATTGATTCCCAATTGTGCACCAGGGCAAACCCTTCTTCCAGCACCAAATGGTAGTAGACGAAAATCATGCCCCTTCATGTCAACATCCTCCTCTAGGTACCGTTCGGGCCGGAACTCGGATGGATTCTTCCACACGGCGGGATCACGGGCTACACAGCCCAGACGTTTACGTGAACGTTGGAGCCCTTGGGGATGTCATAACCACCAATCTTGACGTTGGCGTTGGCTCGGTGAGGGAGCATAAGTGGGGTTGGAGGGTGCAAACGGAGCGCTTCCTTGGCTACACATTGGAGGTAAGGAAGGTTTGAGAAGTCAGTTTCGGTCAACACGCGCTTGAGTCCGATAACTTGGTCTAGTTCCTCTTGGGCCTTCTGTTGGACCCTTGGGTTCTTGATCAACTCCGCCATGGCCCATTCCACAGAGATTGCAGTTGTGTCCATTCCTGCAGTGATCATGTCCTGTTAAAAATAGATATACAATTAGTACTAAGCTCAAATCATCAATCACCCTGCAATCTCATAGTCCAATCTAAGTTTACTATAGAGTTTCTATTGATAAAAGTGGCACTTTAACCCCTCAAAATTCTAGAATTTGTACTTTAGCCCTCTAATATTGAGAGTCACACATTGAATTTTTCAAAATACTATCAATGTGCTCCAACAACTAGACATGTTTTGATTTTTTGTCTGTAAAGATATCGTAAAGTCACTTTTTTTTGTAAGGCTATCATAATGTCACATGATCATGAGAATGAGTGATGGACTTACCCATAGTAGGCCAATGATAGTGTCCTCACTAAGGTCATATTTATCTTGAAGGGTAAGCAATGCATCAACAAAATGTTGCTTGGCTCCACCACTCTTCTGGCGTGCAAGGGTGTGCTCCTCCATGATGGCTCGGGTGAGACAGTCCCGACGTGCCCCGTGCTTAGCAAACGCCTCCTCCTCGAGCGGGAATAACCAACGAAGCCACGGGATGTGCTCGGCCATGGCTAGCGATGCCCCGAGCTTTAGCCCATTGGCGACGATTGCCTTGAACTCCTGACCTTGCTCATCTATCACACCCTCAGAGTTCACAAACCTCTTCCCAAATGCAAGCCTTGTTATGTTGTTGAATGCCACTGCTCCAAGATATTTTTTCACTAGGAAACTCTTCCCCATATTATCTGCAGGGTTATAATTCATGAGATTATCCTTCAAGTGCTGATCAGGGGAACAAGTTTTATCGAGTGATTTAACTCATTGAAGTCCCAAATCTACTAGGGCTGAGACACAAGCTTTTCATTGATCATGCCATAAATTTCGAATGCATACAATCATCGAAGATATGTACGTTGAGTTAGATAAGATTCAAACTTATAATTTAACAGTATTATACATTTGGGTCTGACACTATTATTGGGAGGGAAATGACGAAGTTCGAACCTGCAACCTTAAGGTTTAACAGTGGGACGGTGACCATTAGATCAACGACTAATCTCAACGTAAATTAGGAAATCTTCAAACTGAGAAGATCTAGATCCAACCATAAATGTATGGCTCTGATCAAGCCAAACAAATTATGAACATGGTAAAAGTTTTACTACTTCGATTTCACTTCTAATATAAGTAATTTTTCTTTTTTGTAATGGTACAAAAATAAGTTTAAGTAAAAATTTGAGTCAAAAGTCGTGCCTAGTGGACAATTTGTTTCAAGTATGAGGATATATATATATATATATATATATATATACACATCTGTACGAGGGTAAAGGTGTAATTTAACATATCAAGTATTTTTGAAGCATTCTATTACTGTCACCATCAAGATTACTTATTAAGTTTTGTTCTGGTGTACCAACCAACAAAGAGTGAATTAAAAACAAAGCAGGCATCGAATTGATTATCTGCTTGTGACCTAAACACCCATCTAAACCACATCTTGATCAGATCAACCAAACTACAAGAAGATAATCCACACGCTTGGTTCAAATAGACAAATAACAAAAAAAAAAAAAAAAGAGACATAAACTTGTACGGGCTGAGTTTAAGTTCTCTTAATCACATAAAATTCAATTTAATTATTGTATATGAGTAGCAAATAATTAGATGTATTTAAGGTTTATAATTAAAAAAAAAAAAAATTTAGGCTAAATATATCACAGTTAGTCCTTAAACTTTACATTCTTTTTCAAAATGGTCTATATACTTTCGATAGTCTCAATTTAATTCCTTAACTATTAATTTTGTGTCAAAAAAGTTTTTCTGTTCATTTCACCAGTTAGAACAAATGGAAGCAAGCCACACATTATTGTCAAGTTTCTGTGTCGCCATTTATTCTAAGGGTTGAAATTGACGGAAAGACATAATTAACATGATGAAATTGATAGTTAATAGACCAAAATGAGATAATTAAAAGTTCAGGGGCCAAATTAAAACCTGCAAAATTCAGGGACCAATTATAATTTTTACCCTTGAATTTTGTCTCCTATTTTAAAATGATTCTTAAATCTTTAATTGTCCAAATTTAGTCTCTCAATTATCAATTTTATCTCAATTAAGTAATTTCGTTCATTTTTACCATTAGATCAACGCTGAAATGAATTAGATTGAGGTATTCTTCGGTTAATCTAATAATGAAAATTGATGAAAATACTTAATTAAGACGAAATTAATAATCAGAAGACTTAATTATGGCAGTTAAAAGTTCGGGTACCGAATTAAAATTAAGGACAAAGTTTATGCACTAACTACAATTTTTACCCTAAAATATATAAGATTAAGACAATTCCCCCTTACTAAAAAACACTACCACTACATGGCTATTTAGCAGATGCCAACCTCATACTAACCAAGAATTCACCAAATCAAACACATGATAACTACAAGTAAAACATACCAGGATTGGTGCAATCTTTGAAAATGGACTCCACCATGGCTGTGACCTCATCTTCTCTGATGGGTCTGAGAGCTTCAAGCCTCTTGGGAGAGAAAAGCTCAAGTGTACAGACTTTTCTCACCTTCACATAGTGAGGTCCATAGTCAGCCCAAATAAGGTCCTGCCCTTCTCTGCTGAACTTCGCCGCCGATCGGCTTCGATGCCGGTCGGCCAATTGCTGGTCATGTTCTTTGAGGACTTCTTTGGCCAGCTCGGAATTGGAAACGATAACGTTAAGAGTTGAACCGAACCAGACAGAAATGATTGGGCCGTAAGTCTGTGCCCAGTCGGCAAAGCACCGGAATCTCACCGGCTTTATGTCGTAAAGGTTGCCGACGACCGGCCATGGTCTAGGGCCTGGTGGGAGCTTGAATCTGAGCTTTTGGTAGAGTTGGTATAGGAGGAAGATGAAGGCGAAGGTGAAGAGGAGTGGAAGGAGAGCCATGAAGGGGGGGGGGGGAGAGAGAGAGAGACGGTGGGGGTTGGTGTAAGGAGAAAAGTGGTGAGGGAAACGTTATTATACAAGTTGAGAGAGAGAGAGAGTTGGTGAAGGGCATTTTAGTACCATGAGTAGTTGTTGAAATAAGTATGGGTTTGGAGTAAGGTCATTATGAACCATTTGGATCCTCTGAATCTCGAATAAGTTTCAATTTCCATCGAAGTTTAACTAACCGATTGATTATTATTAGGTACCGACTATATTTTTTATTTAGGGGTTAAGAGTTCAAATCTTAGAGTTTTCATTAACATTCGATGGTTGATCGCTATCCTAGTTTAATTAAGTCTGATTTCGAGAGGTGTGTCAAGCGCGGTCTAAGACCTTATGATCTCATCAATGAAGACCTAACAGGGTGGTCGTTGGGCGCTCTGTCTTAACTCCACTCTTTTTATTAATTTGGAAAAAAAACCTAAGTATCACAAAATAAAAATACAACACCCAATAATCTAGTTTTTGTTTTGGGAAGTCTCGGAGGGACGTATTGGGAGTACCAACCTGCAACCTCCGAGGTTATTGAAACAAATTTTAACCATTAAACCAATAATCCATATAATAGCCAAACAATTATGTCGACTTTCCAATAGGTTATTTTTCTTGTGTGGAGGGGCGGATTTAGTACGGCGCCAACGGCTTACACTGAAATTTTAAAAAAAAATTCAGGACCTAAGTGAATTTTTGAAAATTTAAAATTTTTTTGAATCTGGCCTCTACTAAAATTTTCATAAAATATTGGGCTTAGTGTAATTTTTAAACCATTAAACATAAATTTAACAGCTCACTCATTACATGTTATTTTCTTCTCCGCACTTCTTGTTTGGTCTCTATTCTTCACTAGCCCTCACTCTTTTCTTTTTTTTGATTTCTTGAAAGCTTTGGTATATTTATCAACAAATCAACTTACTTTGTTATTAATTGTTAGTATTGAGGTATATAACAACAATTATCTCACCAAAATCACAAGAAGAAGACTCAAGAAAAACAAAACAATGGTTATTTTTATTGTAGTGTATTACTTTAATTTCAACACAAAATAAAGCATGAAAAGGACAAAAAATCTGCAGCCTTGAATCACATAAATTTGACTCTAAAAACTTGACTATTTCAATGAAAAAATTCAGTACCATAAGACCCAAATACAAGGAACTAGATTTGAAATTTCAGTAACAATCACACACAAGTATTGTAGATTTATGAATTATATTATTGGGAATTTATGGATTATATTTTAATTATGTGTAATACATTATGTCATTCGTTACGAACTACTAAATTGAATTTAAAAATTAACATTGAAACAACTGTCTTCTAGTCAAGAAATAGATAATTTTTTGATGTGAAGTCTTTTTTGTTGCCTTTTTTTGGACTTCGATTTTATATATGAGTTGAGCATTTAAATGACATTTTTTTAATGAAATTAAACATAAATTTTTTTTTTATTAAGAATATACATTTTAATAAAAACAATGTTGCATTTATAGTTTAAATTTAAGAATTTTAAGTTGCCCCACTAAAACAAAATTCGGACTCCGCACCTGATTAGAGCCTTGATGCAGGGGTGTACTGGTTGTGTGAGAGAGAGAGAGGGAGTACAGGGAGAGTGAGCGTGTGTGTCGGTTTTTACAGTGTATTATAGCATTTAAGTACGTGTAAACTGGTTGTGCGTGTGAGAGAGTGTGTGTGTTGGTTTTTACGGTGTATCAGCTGGGAGAGTGGGTTGGAGCATTGAGGCAAGGATGTAAGGGTTGAGAGAGAGTTTTTCACACTAGTGCAGCTTTTACAGGAGTAGAGCAATGGGAGGGAAATGTTGCAGTGCACGGGCAAAATTGTTTTTTTACCTCATTTCACCTTTAAAATTAATCCTTTCAAGTTTGTAATTATACCCAGTTCAAAAAAAAAAAAGTTTGTAATTATACTTTTAACCCCAAAATTATATTCTTAATTTCATTTTGTATGTGAAATACGAGATGTCATAGGATTTGATACGTATAGACTCTTTTTGTAATTGACACATAACGAGTATTGATTATGTATACTATTTGTTAAAAAAATGTTACTTGAACTTAAAATAATGACTTGATTTGATCAATCATAACCATTAAATAGGTAATGAGTTATAATAAAATACTTAAACTCACAATTAAATTAATGATATTGATTGATCAAGTCAGCACATCAATTCAATATTTTAAGTCTATATAACATTACTCAATTTTACATCCTAAAATATCTTTACATTTTGAATTCATATCCAAAACAATAATATTATTTAGATTTAATTTCTTAAAATAATTTGTTGATGTATTCCATCACAATCATTGCTTGTGGGTCTCAATAAATACTGGGTTTACTGTTAATTTAATGATTATAAATAATTAAATCAATAAATTAAGTCAATAAATTAGGTTCAAATAACATTACCCTGATATGAAAAAACTGAAATTTTCAAATTGCACCTTTAATCAATGGAAAGGACTAGGTCTGCGATCTCTTGAAACAAACCGTAGTCTTAAACCATGATAAAATATCATTAATAATGATAAAGAGAAGCAGGTTGGACACTCTCTTTCCACAATTGTCAAAAAAAAAAGAATAAATGTGAATAATTGTCACATTACAAACTCCATTACACTAGACCACGATATTTTTTTTTGCAACAAACATATTTTTCATATGAAGGCCCCGCTTCACTACTCTCCTAAGAATTTGTTGACGGTCTCGAAACTTTACAACATATAACCGGTCTTCTCAGGGTCTTGACCAGTTTTCTCACCCATTCCTCCTTTGATCCCTTTGCACGCTCTCCAACTCTTGACAGACCCCAACTGTGCAAGGCGTGCACATATGGTCCCTGATATGTTCGATGGCACTTGGTGAATATAGCAATAGCATAATCGTTTTTAGTTTGTAGAAGGCTTTTTATGACGTCGCCCTAATTATGAACTTGTATTTTGAGATTGGAGTGGCTATACCAAGTCAAATTGTGAATGAAATGAGGTTAAAGTTCAATCAGGTGCGCACATGAGTTAATGTGTTGCTTGTGATCTTGATGATAATTCTAACTTGGAAAAATGTCAAAGGAAGAAGTGGGATAAAAAATGTCTAGCCATAGAAATTTAGTTTACTTCAAAAACATTCCTCTTGATAGAAGGTTTTGGGCCAATCTAAACAGGCATTAAATAAATAAAATTATTTAATTTGTTCAATAAAATGAAAAGAAAAATGTAGTGAACAACAACGTTAATTTGAATTCAAAATTTACAATTTTAAAAACTCTTTTGAACTTAACGTTTTTGTATGTTGTTTGATCGAACAAACATTTAATAGTTAAATTTTTTCAATATACCCAGTAAAAAATAAATAAAAGAGAGAGTCAACACCATTGATTTCAAGGGCGACCAAACAAATAAGATTGTTATCAATATTTAGAATGATTATACGAATATATATTATACGATTATTAGACATTTTTACAAAGAGTTGCGATGCAATTTAATTTCAAGTTTTTAGTGATTTTGAAATTGGATGAGATCAGACGATAAAATGAGTGCAAATTTGAAGTCAAGAGTGTATGAATAAATTAACTTGAGTCATAAAGAGAGAGTGGGGAAGTTAAGAGATAAGGACAAAGGGCCGAAGCAACACAATAAGAGAAGGGGATGGAAAGTCTTGGAGAGAGGCGGTGATACCAAAAGGGAGAGAGCGAAAGGAATTTGAGAGATTATTACTTGAAGGCTAGAAATCATTACTTTTTAGGCTTTTTTTTAGAAGATTTTGCTACATTTCAAGCCTTTTCAGGTTTTATATAGAATACTTGTGAAATATATTAGGTCTTTAAACTCGGTTAATCCAAAGGCACCTCAGAACATGGAGTTGAACTAAGGCTATAAATTTAACTGGGAGGCGACTATTTTTTTAAAAGGTTTTACTACATTTTATGCATTTCTAGAATGTTTAACATAGAATGCTTGTAAAATACATCAGGCCTTTAAACTCAATCAATCTAAAGATGCCTAAGAGCACATAGCTGAACTAAGGGCCAAAAATTTAATTAGGACCCTAAGCGACTATTTTAAGTGTGAAGCCAAAGGATCGACCTTGATGTGTCCCTTCTCATTCAAAGAATCGAAATACTTACACATTTTGTAATGATCAAAATACTTGCCTCCCTTCCTCAATAATTTAAATTGAATGGTTCTTTGAGCTTAACTCAATATGTCCCGTGCTATGAAGCACAAATATTTCGTTGAGATTGACATATCCGCATCGGATACCGTATCAGATATGATACTCGTCGGATATTCAAGGTTACGTATCAGATACACCTTCTACGTATCCGATAATAATTAAATATTATGATATTTCACGGATACTTTTATAGTCGAGCAACATATATAATTTTTTAATTGAACTTTTAACATCTCTTTTCGAATTCACATATCATACAATATATTAACAAAAAATTCATATTACTTCAAAGGCACGTGAGTGTTTTTTAAGTAGTATCTACAATCACATGTCAAAAGAGTATAAAATAATGCTATTACATTATAATTTTAGCAAAAATTACTTATAAATACTAGGTAAATATTAACTTTGATTCTTTTAATTAGTCATTTCATTTTGTTAATATACCACAACAACACTATATATATTTTCTTAAAACTAAAAAATATTACTAATTTTTCTTATTATATGTTAAAGAACTACCAAAATATATAAGTATTAAGTTAGTTGAAAATAAAAAAAATATTAAATATATTTCATTATAACCGTATCTTGGCCGTACCCGTATCATATTTTTTTACACTTTGTTGTATTGTCGTATTTGTATTATATTGTACTTGTATCCCATATTCGTATCTATGCTTCATAGATCACATGAGATGTGTGTGACCATTTAGTCAATTTAAATTGTTGCTTCGATTAGAATCAAGTGACGCAAATTG